GGCAAATGATCAGATGCAAGTAAGTAGTACAGGAGAGGGAGAAATATGAGAGAATTTCAAGATTTTGAACCCACGGAACTAGGAAAATTTCCAAATTAGGAAATCAGGAGGCTTGTGGAATAAGTTGATATTTGATTTAAGGCATAGTGAGTTTGAGATGCAGGCAAAGCAAGAGAAGTGAAAATGTATGAAGTGTGGGTTATCGCAAATATGTGATTGGAACTCAAAGGAGATGTAGAGCCTGGACATGATGATTTACCACACTGATCTCCACTACAGTTATAGTGAAATTGTGGGAGACTTTGCTGTTGCTGAGAGAGGGCACATAGAGAAGACAAAGCTGAATTCCTGTGCCATTATTAAATCCTGGGAGGTGACAAGAGGAAGACTCAGAGAAAGCATAAGAGGGAGGAAGAGATCCAGAGTTGTGCCATTTTGTGAAAGCTACACAGGGCAGGAGAGAGTTCCAAGGATGTCGTGGTGAACAGTTTCAAATACTGCAAGAAGGTCAAGGCAGAATGACAGTTCCATTGGACCCTCCAAACAGGGGGTCATAAATGACTACAAGAAAGAAGTTTATAGAAAGTGGGTGGAGAGCAGCTAGTTTGCACAGTAGATACAGCATCGGCCCTGAAGTCAGGAGGACCTGAGTTCAAATCTGGCCTCAGACCAAACACTTGACACTTACTAGCTGTGTGACCCTGGGCAAGTCACTTAACCCCAATGGCCTAAAAAAAGAAAAAAAAAAAAGAAAGTGGTGGGAACAGAACCCTGATTACAAGGGATTGAAAAGTGAATAGACAACAGAGGTAGTACAAATAGATTACTTTCAAGAAGGTTGGAAATGTATGAGGCCAAAATAAGATAATTGTTTTTATTATGAGAGATCTGAGAATGTTTATTGGAGGAGAGGAAGGAGCCAATGAACTTAGATGGGAAAAGGGGGAAGAATGGTGAGACTAGGGGTCACAATCAGGATGAAGATCAAGTAATCACAGAGTGAGGGAATAGAGAAGGAAGAAGGACAGGAGATCATAGTCAGAGAGGGGAAAGCCCTGGAAGTGTTTTATAGTTTCATGCTATGAGTTAGACATGAGGCATATCTGTACTTGAGATCTTGAGGGATTTGAATCCAGGTCCAGTGGTAGACCCTTCTCTGACAACTAGAAGATAACTAAGTTCAGAAAGATTCTTCAAGGGAAGGTTGGCCACCAGGTGATGATTTTTTTCTTTTGGCCACAATAAATTAGGAAAACTGTCTACTAAGGTGTGGAGGGGCTGCAATCTGCATGTGAGGGAGGAGCCACACTGCCCAAATTATGAATCTGTTGGAGTGAGGTGGTGTTTACATGTAGCCACCAAATTCTGCTTTTGATTACTGTCACCCTGAGTCACTGAAATGGCAACGTACCCTGACATTAAGACAACTGGCATGGTTGGCTTAGAAAGGTCCAGTCATTTCAAACGTATGTCATGTTCCAGCAGTATTTTAGGAGAAAGAGGAATAGACTTAGAGATAGGAGAAACCTGAATTCAAATCCTTCCTCTGACAGTTACTAGCTATGTGATAATAAGGAAATCAGTCAGTCATTCAACTAACATTTATTGTCGTTGTTCAGTCATTTTTCAGTCATGTCCAACACTTCCTGACCTCATTTGGATTTTTCTTGGCAAAGATACTGGAATGGTTTGCCATTTCCTTCTCCAGCTCACTTTATAAATGAAGAAACTGAGGCAAATAGGGTTAAATGACTTGCCCAGGGTCACACAGCTAGCAAGTGTCTGAGGCTGGATCTGAACTCAGGAAGAGGAGTCTTTCTGATCCCAGGCCTAGCACTCTATCCACTGCCCCACCTAGCTGCCCCAGCATTTATTAATCATCTTCTATTTTCCAGGCAAAAAACCAGTTCCTTCTCTCAGGGAGTTTACTGTCTAATGAGCTAGACAACAAGCAAACACAACCTCTGTGAAGTTTAGTTTCCTCATTTGTAAAATAGCTATAACGATGGCACCCAGAGAGACATTTTGGCCTCACAGGGAGGAAGACCTCAGTGTAAGTCCCGCAGCTGACACAGAGAGCGACCCTGGGCAGGTGCCTGTTCATGTATCTAAGGCGATTCTCTAAAACTGTAAGCCACAGGTCTGCTTTGGTGAAAGGAGTCTCCTTACCTGGAGTTCCTTGCATGAATGAAATCACAGGCCTCTTCCCTATTGCCCCTCTCCTTCTACCTCCCCACCCCTAGAGCACCCACTTCAACATGTTGTTAGGATTAAGTGAGCTACGAGTTTGCAAACTCAGAATGCTAAATGCCAGCCATTATTTTTATTAGTAAAATCCAATTCTGCACAAAAAGGAGACCAATAATATATAAAGCATGCAAGTGACCTGTAAGCCAAAACCATTATCTATTAAATAATTAATGGAGCTTTGTGCTCTTTTTAGTTGATGAAATAATTTAAAAGGACTAATAAATATGCAATCTGCACCTGTTTATAATTACAAAGGGAGTTTATGCCCGGTTATAATACAAAGAAAGAGAAAATTTAACCTTGCTTTAATCCCCAAACAATAATACCCAAGTAGTGAAGCAAAAAGCATGAGTCATGTATCTACATTTGGTGGTCCCCACGATAACTTTAGTGCTTTCAAGTGGGAGGCCATTTTTGTTCTTCATTTTGACCACTAAACCAAGACTTCTGTTATAGGGAAGAGCAATCTGCCACCAGGGCCTGAACCAATCACTTGCACCTGCTTTTTCTGGTCTTAGGGCAGATGGTACGTCATAAAAATAAAAGCCATGGAAAAAATGCACAGAAATATATTCCCTTTAAAACTCTTCAGGAGGTTCATTTTCCTAACGCCTGATGTCATAAATATACATGTTTTATGTTAATGTCCTAGCCCTGCATTTGGTGATTGATGCTGGGGCCTAGTAAAGGTTGCTTGGCCCCATTCATATGCTCGTCTTTACAGAGTTACACAGGATTTGAACACAGCTTTTAGTGCAGAGGCTCTGAGGGCAGGACAATTTATTCTTTGCACACTAATGAGAGCCTTGAGCAAGAGCTGCTGGTGCTCTGGGTCGTGCTCCTCCAGCCCCTACCCATTAGCTCCATTCATTTATTAAAACTACTTTCCCACCTCTGAGGCAATGTCCACTGGCCTGTGGCAGAATTAGACACACTTGATTGGAAAGCAGCAGGACTAGCATTTCGCTGTTTTATACCAATGAACCAATCAATCAATAAGCATTTACTTTGGGCCAGGAGTGGTGCTGAGCACTGGGGATACAAAGAAAGACAAAAATAAGTCCCTGCCCCCAAGAAGCTCACATTTTGATAGACGAGACAATATGTAAGTAACTAGGTACATAACAGATACATATAAGGTAGATGGGAGTTATCTCAGTTTGCTGGGGGATGGTCTGTACGAGTGCAGTCTACAGTGCACTGTGCTCCACTCTCACTCCTTTGGGCAAACCTTTTATGTTGTCTTGGGCTGGACAATTGTCTTACCTTGTTTTTTTGTGGGTTCTGCCACTCCAAAATTTGTTTTGAGGCCTTATTCAAAGTTTTTTGAAGGAGTTTTGGGGAGAGCTTGGGTGAGTCCCTGCCTTTTCTCCACCATTTTGGCTCCACCATAGGAGATAATCTTGGAACAGAAGGCACTAACAGCTAGAGGGACCAGGAAAGACCTCTTGCTTAAGGAAGGAGTTGAGCTGAATCTCGAAGGAAGCTAAGAGGCAGAGGGTGAGGAGGATGAAGCATGGAGAACAGCCAATGTAAAGACACAGAAATGGGAGGTAGAATGTTGTATTCAGAGAAAAACAGGCAGGCCAGAGTTTCAGAATTGAGTAGAAGAGATCTGTTGAATCCAGTTTCACTCTGTGTGTTCACTTCAACAGCTGTCATAGTTTGCAAACACTAATATTACTAATGGGTACTCATGCTCATGTGGACTGGGCTAGAATTGGTACTCATTTTATGCTGAGACTTGAGAGTATTGCTATAAATGGAAGGTTCTAAACTGACCATTTCCTTACAGTAGAAAGTCTGTGGCAACAACTAAATATGCGGGGCGGGGGGGAAGGGTAGCAGTAAGATGCCAGCTAGGTGGTATAGTGGATAGAGTACTGGGACTAGAGTCAGGAAGACCTAAGTTAATGTGACCTCAGACACTTAATAGTTGTGTGACTGGGCAAGTCACTTAACCCTGCTTACCTCAGTTTCCTCACCTGTAAAATGAGTTGGAGAAGGAAATGGCAAACTGCTCCAATATCTTTGCCAAGAAAACCCCAAATGGGGTCACACAACAACTGAACAACAACAATGTGTGGTATATAGTCCATTGACTATAGTGCTTACTCAGATGCATGATGGAAACTGGTCCCAACATAATCATCCTGCCCGCAGACTTAACCTTAATGTTCCTTACTCACAAGACAACACAAACCTCTAGAAGCACTAGAATTATCGATTTTATATCACAAGTATGCTTGTGACAAAGTGAGTTGATATCTAATTTGAATTAAGATGAATATGACACCATTCAACATTTTAATAGAATTTAAGCTCTCTGAGGGCAGGCATATTTGACTTGGCATCCCCAGTATATAGCTCCATTTTTGACAGGTAGCAATTGCTTACTAGATACTTATTGAACAGCAAATAATCTCAGGGCGCCTGGATCTAAGAAATGAGCTTTGCTGAATCAAACTGCATTCAGTGGGATCACTTCTATAACAACTGGAATTAAAGTCACCAATTAAAATCAACTGATTTCTTCAACTACATCTAAAAGCAGAATAGAAGAGCAAGATGGTTTTGGTATAAAAGTTGACCTTAGGTAATATTTTTACTTGAACCTGGATCTAAAGCATACTATATGAGACCCGAATATGTTCCCCTTAAATTAATGTAAAAGCATAATAATATTGTCATATTTCAAGATTTCATCAAAAATCCTGATACATAACAAATACTTCAGAATACAGACTTACTTTATTTAACTTTATAAAATGGTCTAGCCCAGCCTCCAGAGGATTTGTATCGCAATTCATCTATAAAGAAAAAAGACATTTTAAAATTAAAAGGTTGGACAATAGTTTTTAAAACTCTGTTTTTCTACAACTTTTTTACTTCAAAAAACCCATAATTTTCCATTTTGCCTTCTGGTTTTAAAAAGAGAAATTTCAAAAAGTGGATTTCTAATAACCCTTTCAATTGAAAGAGAGAGAGAGAATAACTTTTTAGTATATGACTGTCATTACATAACTGAAAAGATGGAAGGTTTACTTTTAAATTGCCATTCTTGTTGAATTTTATTTGACATATAAAATATATGCTAAATGAAGTACATAGAATTACCTTTGGTTAAAATACAGATCTCTAAAATATATATTCCATTTATACAGCTTTATGTAATTCCCTTCATACTGTTTCAGTTATATAAATAACTAATGAAAAGATATTGACTTGTGTTATTAAAAGTCTAGAATAAGGAGAAGTTAAAGGTGGAGCAAGTGGAAATTGCTTCTCTATAGAGCATCGAAAAGGAGAAAAGAGAAGGAAGAGGCCTTAGTTCATGCTTATACTTGAACCTGGGTCTAAAGCCAATACTGTATTAGACCCGAAATATAGGCCACGCTACTGAAATGAGATTATTTCAAAATATACATGTGTAACACTGAAAATTTCCCACAAAATTGCAAATGAAAATTGCTATGAATTTTTTGGTATTTTTTCATTTAAATAAAGTTTTTGTTTTTATCAACACTCATCCCAACATCTTTGTCATCTTCTTTGTCATCATTTTACTAAGAACATCATGATAGACTATGCTCAGAATTTTAGAAGTTATATTTGAATAATGGAATCATACCATCTTAGCCTAAATTCAGACCCATAGGTTAGACCTGAACTGAAAGTCCTTTTACTATGATTCAGGGATCTGAGACTTTCAGACCATCCTAAGGCACGATCAAGCTTTTGAGAAGAAAAATATCAAGCTCCATAAAATTGATAAATACCAAAAATTTATCAGTTCTCTCAATGATACAAAAATCTGGATTCACTGCCAAATCAGATCAAGCTGCAGATGCTCTGAAGAGATTTGTCTACTCAAAGTGTCCAGGGAAGAAATAAAAGATTGATTTCTGTAGTAACACTAGATGGCTCTCTAATACTACTGGGAAATTTGAAGGTTACTGAGCTTGGGAAGAGAGCTAAAGAGGAGGAAAGGGAGATGAATAGTATAAGTGGATAAGAGAGAGCAGAATGGGGGTGGGGGTGTAATAGGTTAGATTGCAATGAGATCTTGGACCAAAAAAAGGAGGCTTTGTAATTTAAAATTACTCTTTGATGGTCGGAGTTTGAACTGAGAGAGTTTTCTTCTCATCCCCTCCCCCTCACTTTTGCTCTAGGTTAAATGTTGAGACAGAAAACATTTTTTAAAAACGAAGAAAGATAGGAGTGGAGGCTTTTTGTTCTTCAAAGGTAAAATCAATATGGATGAATGTGTCTTTGAAAGGTGATAAGCAAGGCTGTCCTGATGTGCTTGAAATCCTGGAGTCTAAATGAACATTGTCCTCTCTTTTTAACATCAAAATAAAGACCATTAGTTCTACACACACACACACATTGGAAAACACTACAGTATCTTTGGCAAGAAAACAACTCCAAATGGGATCATGAAAAGTTGGACATGACTGAAAATAACTGAACAACTATATATAATATGTATGTATATACATATATACACATACACACCCCAAAATAGAATTGGACAAATTACTCCTAAACCTAACTAGAAGTGGGCAGTGGAGACTATAGGCATCCCTTGCATCATCCCCACTTGTCAGTGTTTCAGGAGCAGATGTGAAGTGATTCCTTAGGAAGCCCATTGGAATACCTGCTGGATATTAAGTTGTGAGCTCCTTGAAGGCAAGGAGTATCTTTTGTCTTTCTTTACATCTCCAGTACTTAACACAGTTCCTGGCACACAGTAGGCACTTAATAAATTATTGTTGATAAAATGCTTCTTGACTATTGACTGACCAACAAATCCTGACTACCGGAGGAGTGGTTCTAGAGCCCCACAGGGCTAGCCCTAGGCAAAATTGTGAAGTGGTCAAGGTCCATCTTCAGTGCCAACATCTTCCAAAGATCCTTCTTGCCCAATTGCCCCTTAGTTGATTGTACTAGAAGCAATCAACTAGAAGTTGAATGTAGTAGTAGATTGTACTAGAATCAAGGTGGCTCAGTGGGCAGTGTTGGACTTAGCATTACGAACACCACAGTTCAGATTTCACTTCTGACACTTGCCATCTGTGTGACCTTGGACAAATCACCTAAAGCCTTTTAACTTTGGTCTCCTCATCAATAAAATGGAGATGATAATGCCTGTAGCAGCAACACCACAGGGTTATCATGAGACTCAGATGAGAGAAGGAATATTGAACATCCTGCAGACTTTAAAGTACTTGATGTAAGTTATCATTACAACCCCACCTCCCAGAATCTTCCCTCCCTATGCCAACATCCTCTTGCTGCCCAACACCCAGCCAGGATTGCTATTAGAGCTCCCATCTAAGCTTGTCATTTCCTACCCCCTAAGCTTCCACTTCTCTTTAAGGCCAGGGGCCATCTCATTTTTGTTTGTATCCTCAATACCTAGCCCAGTGCCTGGTCCATAATAGGTGCTTAATAAATGCTTGTTGAGCAACTGTTCTCACCCTTTCCGGGCCTCCGGTGAAAACAACAACACTCTGACAAACCAACAGGAGAAGACTCAAAGCATAGCGTCCTAGAGATAGGAAGGTCCCTAAAGTTTGTCCAGACTTCTACCCAGGGCAGGACAGGAATCCTTTCTGAATATTCCTGACAGATCATCACTCTGCTTCTGCTTTCACAACTGAGTTCTGAGAAGCTTACTAATTCACAAGGCTGTTTACTATACCTTTGGGAAGCTCTTATTAGTAGAAAGTTGATTTTTGGGGGAATAATAATGCAAGACTTCACATTTACACGTATTAAATTTGACATAGTTTGGGCCCATCATTCCAACCTCTTGAGGTCTTTTTGAATCCTGATTCTGTTATGCAACATATCAAATATCCTTCTTAGCTTTTTGTCATTTGCAGACTTAACAAGCATGTCTTTATTTAAGCCATTGATAAAGTTATCAGACTGGATGGGGCCGAGAACAAAGCCCTGCAGCCCTCGGTGGGAAAGCCTTCTCCAGGGTGTCATTATTCAATTATTTAACATTCTTCACTCATGGTTACTCGACCAGTTCAAACTCACCTAACACCCAACCCACATTCCACCAACTTCACCCCAAGGATATAATGAGAGACTTTGTTAGATCTCTTACTGAAATCAAGATGCGCTATTGTCTATGGTATTCCCTGATCTACCATTAAAATAGCCTTACGAAACATTAATAGAGACTTACATTTTATAAAACATTTCCCTAAAAATGAGGTCAGTTAGGCATGACCTATTCTTAGTGAACCAGTGCTGACTCGCTGTGATCAGCACTTTCTTAGCTACATGTTCTATATGCTCAATAGTCTACTCTAGAATTGTGCTGGGCGTCAACGTCAAGCTCATCAGGCTGTTGGAAAATTCAGATTACATCAGCTCACTTCCATCCTCCTGGAAAAAGGTATTATGGCATAATGGGCCTTGGAATCTGGAAGACCCTGATTCATAGTCTTGCCTCTGACAAATACTGGCTGTGCAAGCGTGGACACCCACTTATCTTTTCAGTGCTCCAGGCAACTCTTTATGATTGCAAGTTATAGATACCAGTCGATTTCCATGTGGAGAATTTCCACACTGGGAATTCTTTGTACCAATGAAATCACAGGTCCAGTTTTTTTTTTAATTCTTCTGGAACCTCTCATCTTTACATGATTTTTCACACCCTCAAGTTCTTTCAGAAATCTAGAATGTCATTCATCAAATCCTAGAGACTTGGGGTCATTTGAAGCAGCTTTCACTATCCTTTTATCTAGCATGGGCTTCAATTCTCTTAACCATAGTTGTTTTATGCTTTCCAGGGTGAAGACCTTCTTTGAATCAGAATCAACATGAGTTGGATTCTGTCTTCTCTCTGTGTTCAATTAATATTCAATCACCAGACGGTATTGCTTAAGCCATCCAAAATCATAATCGACTCTTTATCAGTGCTCCATTATACTTTAACTTATTTCATAACTCCGAGGACCAGCAATTTCCTTTATTGTGGGTTCTAATACAGACCCCAAACTCCCCATGACTTAGTAATTAGTTTTAGAGAATTATGGCCAAAAATTAACATCCTACAGCCAACTGGTAAAGAGCGTCTTTGACTTAATTAGGTGGGTTCTTGGACAAAAGACATGCTGTCCATAATCAGACCTATCCTTGAATCATTCCTGACTTGGTAGGACCTTCCAGAGCTCCATTAACTTAACCTTTGAGAATCTATGGCCATCCCCATAGCCTAGTGAAGCATTAAAGTGAGACTTTAGCAGAAAATTCTGCTTGCCTTTGGAAGAAAAGACTTATTTTCCTAATTATTAAATTCCTATAATAAAATCACATTATGTCATTCCTGTTAGAACTAGAACTAACTTTAATATCAGGTAAAGCTAGCTCTAGTGAGAACATAAATAAAACAACAAGAAATGAATATTTAATAGCTATATATATATATGTAAAGTATTAGAATTTCAGACCTCTGACCCCCAGGCCCTGAAAGCTTTTTCCATTCTTAAGGCATTCATTGCATAAGTCCCAAAATTGTCAATTCCTTCCTCTTGGCCTGCTTCCATGATGGCCCCATAGAGTGTGGCAGAGTCTTCTTGTCTGTGGTAGAGCTCCCAGCCCAGTTCACCTGAAATAAACCCAACGTTATCATGCAGTCATCATGGGATAACAAAGGTCATCGATTCTGACATACATTAGCTAGAAATCCATAAAACAAGGGGAGAGAATCTACTTATGCAATAAGGGTATGCTGTTGACTTTCTAAAAAGCACGTTTCAGCCAAACTACTACAAAACCTGATTCCAAAGCATTCCTGGCACACTGATTCACTTAGACTAGATGCTAATTCATATGTGTGTGTGTGTGTGTGTGTGTGTGTGTGTGTATACACATATATATCTACTACTCCACCTAGCTGCCCTTACCATATATATATATATATATACACACACACACACATACACACACACACATATATACATAAATGTATGTACGTATGTATGTATGTACATATGCATGTATGTGTGTATGTATGTATGTGTGTATGCACGTATATGGTAGGGGCAGCTAGGTAGAGTAGTGGATAGAGTGCTGGGTGTGTGGTTTGTCCTTTGTTCTCAAAGAGTACCATGACATTAGGGAGGTGATGCCATGATTTGCAAGTGAATTGGATTTAAGTGAGGGAGAGCTGTGGAAAGATACCGGCCTCATTTTCCCCTTCAGAGCCATCTGGGTCCAATGGCTAGATATAGATCAGGACAACTGGAAACGGGCCAGCAAAGTGCTGGGTCTGGAGTTAGGAAGACTCATGTTCCTGAGTTCAAATCTGGTCTCAGACACTTACTAGCTGTATGACCTTGGGCATATTGATGTTTGCCTCAGTTTCCTCATCTGTAAAATGAGTTGGAGAAGGAAATGACAAACCACTCCAGTTTCTTTGCTAAGAAAACCCCAAATGAGGTCATGAAGAGTCAGACACAAATGAAAACAACTCAACAACAACAAATATAGTGATGCCCTTCTCTAACTATCACACAGATATAGGTGCGATTCCAATGCCTTGAAACTAGTTTATAATGATCTTTAACTGCTTTTTGTATCATAACAATCTTTCTAACACAGAGAGTATCAAATGGATAATTAGTAACAAGGTTGTTGTTTAAGTATTTTCAAATTTTAGCTTTCCCTGAAAGACTGGTATAATAGGAAAAGTGCTGAATTTTGAGTCAGGAAGACCCAAGTTTAAATATTGCCTATGATGTCTCTCTGAGCCTCAGTTTCCTGATCTGTAAACTGGGGATAATAATTCCTATAGTAACTTACCTTTTATGATTGGTTATCAAGCTAAAATGAGGTAATGTACAACACGAATGCCAAATATTATCAAGATCTTCCTTTAAATTAATTCTCTATCAGAGTTGTGGATTGTCTGAATGCTTTCGTTGCCTCATTTTCACTGCTATCTGAGCACTTCTTTTCTGCACTGCTTATGAACAGTCTCTACCAATGAAGGGAAATGAGCAGAAGAGTACATTTTCCTGTTTGATTGTCATCCTGATCATTTGTGGGTGGATGGGCAGGGGTAAGGACTACTAGGAAGCTGAAGTGATGTATCTATTTAATATTTCCTGGGTCAACCTCCTGCTATGCAGCCAGTATCTATTTCCCCCAAATTGTCCACACCTTGAAGGAATCAAAGAAATGGGAATTTTGAGATAATCGCCTCAGGGGATTAGGGTACTCTAAGTGAGAGAGGTCATATCAGATGACAAGTGATGGAGGGACTTTAAAAAGGGATAATACTACATACTTCTTTCTATCTAAGGCTACCCTCTAACTCAGGAAATTCAGAGTTCAGAGCTAGCAGAGTTCAAGCAGTTGCTGTGGACCTGGTGGTCTGGTTGACAAAGATCCCAAAAGCCAGAGAGAGAAGTCATGAAATTTTGGGTGCCTTCAAAGGAAGATGCTGACTCCCTTCCCTGGGATAGCTGGCTGATATCTTGGATAACAGCCTCACCTAGTCAGAGTTTAGGAGCTGAGAACAGTAATTACTAGAAACAGGTAATGAGTTGATTTCTCCTTCAATCAAATCAATCAATTGACAAGCAGTTTTAAGTACCCACCATTATGTGGAAGGTATTGGAGATACAAAGATGAATGCAAAATAGTCCCTACCCTTAAGAAGTTTACATTTTATCCTTCCCCTGTGACTTCAGTGGTGGTGGCGGGTAAGTGGGGAGACATTGGGTGTGTTTACCCTCCACCCCAAAAAAAAGGTTTTGAATGACCTGTAGATAATTAAATATAGATGAGAAGGGGGGGAGGGTTGAACATTCAGATCTTATTAGGATAAACTATAGCTCCAACGGAGTTTTAAACTTTTAATTTCTCTACTATAAAGGGACTCTAGTTTGGCACTGAAAGAGAAAAATTTGGGAATCAAAGCAAATCCCTTGCATGCTTACAAAGTTATTTCAACTGGTAGCTCAAGGCTTGGAGGGCCATCTAGTGGCTTACGGTAGAAATGAACTGGAGTAGCTCCAGTTCAGAGCCCCTCCTAGTGTTCCAGGCAGACAACACTCCAAATAGCTATCAGTCACATTCCCATTTTCCCTTTGGAGTCAATATAAAGCATATGCCCCTATGTGTATGTGGAAAATCCCTCTTACGGCTAAAATCAGGTTTGGTGACTAGCTGTGCATTTAAATTATCCATATTTTCTGTTTCTTACCACCCTGAATAATTAAGAATCGGTAATATTGTAGCTTTTGATGACAGTCATAGCAGAGGCACCAAGAAATCTTTCCACATGGATAATATTGTATACACACTTATATAGATTTTTTTCCCACATATGTTGCCTCATTTGATCCTCACAACAACTGATCTATGAATTGCAGTACAAGTATTATTATCCCCATTTTACAGATGAGGAAACTGAGGCTGCTTAGAAACACTAAGGGACTTGCACGAAGTCCCACAGCTACTACATAGCTGGCTTAGGACTCAAGCCCAGGCTTTGTGACTCCAAATCCATTTTCCTTTCCATTATACATCATTGCTTCTAGGAGATATTTGAAAGGTTTAGAACAAGAGGTTCTTAACCCTTTTGTGGTATGGATCCTTTTGGCATGGATCACCTTTCTGGTGAAGCCTATGAATTCCTTCTTAAAATATTTTTAAATAGAATTACAAAGAAAACTGACTATATTGAAATAAAGATGTCATTTTCTATTATTTACTTTCATGAGCCCCCTGAAATGTCCATGGACCCCAGTTTAAGAACTCCAGAGAACAGTTCCACAGCACAGGAGGAGATCATCTCTAGCATTCTGAGATGAAGGGGCACCCTCACATGTAGAGCACACCATCCCTCCCCTATATAACCACAGTCCTAAAGCCATCTGCCTCTCCCATTCTTCCTTTATCTTTTGAACTGGTGATGAAATATTGGCCTGGGGAATCAAAAGAACATTTATGGCAGACAAAATGTTAGCATCTAGAATTACGATAAAATTTGGGTGAGAGGAATAGCTGTGTTGGATGCCCATCTAAGAGAGATTTTATGTGTGTGCACATGTGCGTGTGTGTATGTATGTATATATATATATATACATGTACATATATTATAATGCATACATATTCATACATATGTCTATGGAGAAAGATGACAGATACTATCATCCCATCAGATTCCATAAGATTTTAATTAATATGACCAGGTTGGTCCCAAACTCTCACCTGTATAGGATATCCTAATAGCAGTAACAGGAATATTAGAAACTGTTAAAGGCTTAGATTGGAGGAATTTGAATGCATCGTTACTAAGATCAGCAGAGGCCAGTTTCTGAAGAACCTTTCTTGCTGATGGCCCTGCTACTCCAAGGACTCCAAGGTCATCTGTAATATTTTCAATCTCAACATCATAGCCACCTTTCAAAATTTCTTCTTCAATCCATCTGTATTTTGAAGAGTAGACATTTTGTTAAAAATCTTTCCTGGGCAAAGGATTTCACAATTTATTTTCTTGAGGCTTTATTTAGAGACTAAAGATATTAAAAACAGTAAGAATTCTGATTAATGCAATGACTAATCACAATTCCAGAGAGCTGAACAGACATTTAGGCGCAGCTAGGTGGCGCAGTGGATAGACTGCCTGGCCTGAAGTCAGGAAGACTCATGTTCCTGAGTTCAAATCTGGCCTCAGACACTAGCTGTGTGACCCCTAGCAAGTCGATTCACACTGTTTGCCTCAGTTTCCTCATGTGTAAAATGAGCTAGAGAAGGAAACAGCAAACTACTCTATTATTTCTGCCAAGAAAACCCTAACTGGGGTCACAAAGAGTCAGACACAATTGAAATTGATGAACAAACAACAATGAATATTTCCTGACAGAGAGATGATGGACTCAAGATGCAGAATAAGACATACATTTTCAGACACAGCCAATGGGAGAATTTGTTTTGGTTGACTATGCATATTTCTTATAAGGGTTTTTTTATTTAATAGGGGGGTAGGTGGGCAGGCAGGGAAGAGGCTGGTGAGAGAGAAAATAAATGCTTACTAGTTAAAAATAATTAAAAGACATAATCGATTCCCCAAAAGATGATGTATGCTGTTCCTATCCCTAAACCCCACTCTCGAAAATCAAGGATGAGGAAATTGAACAGGTCCTGCCCCATGCCACCTCAGGATAGCTGTCCTACCTCTACTAGAGGCTCTTGTACAGCCCTGCCTCACTTAAATCCAATTCACTTGCAAGTCAAGACATCATCCCCCTGATGTCATTGAGAGCCTCTTTGAGAGCAAAGGACAAATAACAATAGTCTACTCTGCTGTTCAACTCAAGTTCCAAAGAACTTAAAAACTTGGAAATGACTATACTGTAATGGAACAGGTTTTAGACTGAAAATAAGAGGCCTGAGTTCTGAACTTGGTTCTGCCACTGTGTGAATTTGAGTAATCTACTGCTTTCTGAGCCTCAGTTTCCTCACCTGTAAAATGGGGATAATAATAACAGTAATACCCATATTACAGAGTTGTTGTGAAGATTAAATTGAGACAATGCACGTAAAACATTTTATAAAGTGCTAAATGTGTCAGTTATTATTATTAACCTGGATAAATGATCAGAAATAATAGCCAAAGAATAGCTGACATATAACTCTTTATAGTTTATTCTTATAAAGCACTTTACATACCCTACTACATTTATTCCTCACAATGATGTGTGGTAACTGGCAAGTATCAGTATCCCATTTTACAGATGAGTTTCAGAAAAGTAAAGTGATTTGCTCAAGATACACAGGAAACAAATATTAGAACCAGGAATTAAGCCCAGGATTTAGATTTTAAATTCTGTGTTCTTTCCATCATGCCACAGCTGCCTCCTTGAATTGCACAGGTGCCAATGCAGAAAAGTACCACGCAAGGGGAAAAGTCAAACTACTCACATGCAAAATGAGAACTGAAAGGCTATACAAAAATATGTGTGTTTCTTTTTTGGGTGCTAGGTAGAGTTAGGTAGTCAGAAAGACCTGAGCTCAAATGCAGCCCTAGACACTAGCTGTGTGACCCTGTTTGCCTCAGTTTCCTTATCTGTAAGTGAGCTAGAGAAGGAAATGGCAAACCACTGTAGTATCTTTGCCAAGAAAACCCCAAAAAGAGGTCATGAAGAGTTGGACGTAATTGAAAATGTCTCAACAACAACAATTTCTCTTTAAGGAAATCTACTATACAAAAAGGTGGCACAGCAGCTATGTGCCATAGTGGGTAGAACACCGGGCCTGGAGTCAGGAAAACCAGAGTTCAAATCCAGCCTCCAGTATCTTTGCCAAGAAAACCCCAAATGCGGTTACAAAGAGTCAGACACAACCAAACTATTAAACAACAATATACAAAAACTCATGCTTACAAGACAAATAGAGTACGTGATAATTATTTATAGTATTAATCATTCCACCAAAAATTGAGAATGAATCACCTTAAATAGTGATTTCTTAAACATGATTTTTTTTCAAAATTTCATTTTAAACTCAAATTTCCAGAAAGCTCCCTTCAACAAAATGAGGTTTTCACCACTACTTCAAGTCACTGATGCTTCTTGGAATCAAATGCATAATTGCTCTGGCCCTGGTAACAGCGCTATAAAAACTTCAAAGACTTCTCATTTCCAGGAGCTTCTAGTGTTTTGTTGAATATCTCTGTAGGGATTACTTTGTAGCTATGAAATGATCTGCTGATCCGAATATATAAAGGAAACAAAAGCTAAAGGGAATTGCTATCTATTTTCCTTCTCAAGATCATTATGTATTCTGCATATAGATACTAATAGCTAGTGTGTACTCTGTGGGGCTTTTGAATTTTCTGTCCTGAGATGTTGATCTTCTCTACATAGAACTAACCTGTGACGGTCCCCTTGATCTTAGATATGTCTCGTCAGAACACATGATCTTACAGTTTCACAACAGCAAAGCATGCTGGGTGAGGACAAGGCCATGCTATGAAAAGAGACACTTACTGCAAGATAATAGAATTCATCTATCAGAATAAAGGTCTGGCCTTTACACTAAAAGGCCAACAATTTAAATTTACCACTGGACGAAGAGAAAATGACATACAAAGGGAACACAGTAGTTTAGAATAATAAGAATAATAAGAATAATAACAATATCTCATATTTATGTAGTGCTTTAAACTTCACATAGTGCTTTACACGTGTTATCTTATTTGATCCTCACAACAAATCCTTTGAGGAAGGTGCTATCATAACCCTCATATTGTTTTTGTTCAGTTGTTTTTCACTCATGTCCGGCTCTTCCTGACCTTATTTGGGGTTTTCTTGGCAGAGACACTGGAATGATTTGCCATTTCTTTCTCCAGCTCATTTTACAGAGGAGAAAACTGAGGCAAATGGGGTAAAGTGACTAGTCCAGGGTCACACAGCTAGTAAGTGTCTGAGGCCAGTTTTGAACTCAGGAAGATGAGACTTCCTGACGCCAGGCGCTGAGCTCTATCTATTGCAACACCTAGCTGCCTGCTATGCTCATTTTACAGATGAGTAAACAGACATTTGATCTGAAACTAACAGACTAGTTACTCAACTGTAACTAACAACCAGTCTTAGACTAACAGCTAGATGGAAAGACTGTTAGTCTCAGAAGATTTAAGCGACTTGTCCAGGTAGAATTCCAACCCAGCTCTTCCTGACTTCCTGGCTCTAGACATTACAATACACTTCTTACACTTAACTTGGTATATTTTCTTATAGGAGGAAAAGAATTCCAAGACTCAGTCATTTCTTTTTGACTGTTGTGTTCCCTTCCATTTTTTGTTCATATAGGGTAGACTCATTCTTGCATCCCCATTGCCCAGCACACTGCCTGGAACCCCACAGGTTGATAGAAATGCTTGTTGATTAATTTGTTTCTTTTTAAAATAAATCCAGGAGGGACATATTAAGAAATAAAGGTAATGAAAAGGCAAAAGAGATCAATACATTTAAAAGTATAAAATAAAAGTCAAAGAAATTTAGAAATAGTAGGTAAAGAATGAATTCTATTCATGCAAGCTTGAGTAGTTGTTACAGTTGTGTTCGACTCTTCATGCATCCATCTGGGCTTTTCTTGGCAAAGATACTAGAGTGGTTTTGCCATTTCCTTCTCCAGCTCATTTTACAGATGAGGAAACTGAGGAAAATAGTGTTAAGTGATTTGCCCAGGGCCTCATACAGCTAGTATCTGAGGCCAGATTTGAACTCGAGAAGATGAATCTTCTTAACTCCAGGCCTAGCACTCTATCCATTGAAACATCTAGCTGCCCCCATTGAATCCATAATTATCTTATGAAAATAATACTTGCCTCAGGTCGTGAAGCTCTGACCCAGAACCAGTTATCAGTAAGAACTCCCCTGGAGATTGCTGGCAGACGGTCAACTCAGCATAAACTCTGCCCTTTGGTGTCAACATGTGACTTATATTTGTAAAACCCACCTACAACAAAGAAATGCATAATTACCTCTGGGTAAAAAGGGGAAAAAAAACCTTCTATGTTTTCCTGGTACAAAATACAAGCAAAATGTTTAGTCACTGATTAAAAGGCCTTTAATGTATTCACATATGCTAACTAATATGACTTTGGATCATAATTTTTATGTGTTAAACCTGACTCAGAAAAGATTAATTTCAAAATTGTTCTCTTAGGTGATTGTTTTTAAATAGTTCACTCTCTCCAGTTAGTCTGCAGTTCTAAACATCCAGATTATTACTAGTCAATGCTGTGCTCAAGTTCTTGACATCATTTCCCCTCTAATATATTGCAAAGTCCTTGAGGACACAGAACAATAGCATTCATTTTTGCATCTTCCCAAGGTGTAGTATATTCCATACAGTAGAAGTGATCTAGAATGGCATATTGCATATGGTAAGTATTTGATGAATGAATGAATGAGTGAATGAATGAATGAATGAGTAAATTAATGATTAAACAGAGTAGGTCCTTTGAGTAAGTCCCTTGATAATACCACAAGTATACTCTTCCTTTAAGAAAATTTCACTGGTTATATAAAAATTTGAATACATAAAAGAGATGAAACTTATGGTATAAGCTAAAGGGAATTGCTATCTGTTTTCCTTCTCAAGATCATTATATGTACTAAAATAATTTATTTTTGTTGTAATTTGTCTTTGGAGGCAGTCAGGTGGCAGAGAGCATAGAGCACTGGGCCTAGAGTCAGGAAGGTCTGAGTTTAAAGGTGGCCTCACTTACTAGCTGTATGAAGCTGAGCAAGTCCCTTAACCCCCTTTGTCTCACTTTCCTCATCTGTAAAATGAGCTAGAGAAGGAAATGACAAACTACTCCAACATCTTTGCCAAGAAAATCCCCAAAAAAGGGGAATGCAAAGAGTCATTCATGACTGAAACAACTGAACAGCAACAAAAACTTTGTCTTTCCAGAAAAAATAGTGAAAGGCTGAAGGATCCTAGAGGCCACTACCCCTGAACCTTGTATCCTCATATTCTTATTTACCTTTGGAACGACATTTGCAAAGAGGTGATCCAACAGTTTAAGAGAATCTTTGCCTCTGACTTTAAACTTGCCAAATGGGGATAGGTCAATCACCCCCACTCTTTGCATAACTTGTTGATACTCTAAGCCCACTGGCTGGAACCAGTTTGTACGTTGGAAGCTTGGCCTGAAACACAGTTTTGAGTATCATAAGACAGCTGCTACTCCATTTTATAGAATCACAGAACAAAAGGATTTTTACAACCTGCTTTTTTCTATGTTGTTTAAATTCCATCCAGGAAAAAAAAACCCAACAATAACATTCTCTGGGATCTAACATCTAGAATGGAATGCAGAAATGATCTAGTTTAACAGATAAGAAGCCTGAGAGGGGCAAGCTAGGTGGTACAGTGGATAGAGCACCAGCCCTGGAGGCAGGAGGACCTGAGTTCAAATCCAGCCTCAGATACTATCTAAGGCACTCTGGGCAAGTCACTTACCCTCTACAGCCTTCAAAAACAACAACAGAAAAGAGAACTGAGACCCAGTGACTTGCCCATGATTCCTACATGTAGGAATCATCAGAAGCGGGGGTTGAACCAAAGTTCCCTGACTCCCAGGGCCAAAGGACTTTTTTTTTTCCATTTTACGCTGCTGCATCATCAAATTACAGCTTGCAAATCATTCATGTGAGATGGACTCTAGCCTCTTTTTAGTTACTCCTGTGTAACTTTTATCCACGTAGCAATGAATGGGTGAAATATTAATTCATTTGACTAGAAAAAGAGACAGAACATAAGGACTGCCGGAGCTGGAAGGGAGCTTGGAGGTCGTCTAGCCCTTGTTTCAGAGACAAGACAGCTGAGGCCCAAAGGGATGGTCAGTTAGTGGCCTGGCTCCCAAGCTGGTATTCTTTCCCTTATGTCGTGCACTTGGACTGCCTCCAAATGGAGGGGAGTGGGGTTCAGCTTCCTAGCAAAGTGCCGCAGCTGGGAAACAAGTGGTACTCTGAGAACTAAAATGTGGGAATGGAGTGGGGCTGGCATTCACCTAGAGCACTCAGGAACCAGATAAAACAAACGAAACTGTTTTACCCTCAGGATGATCGGTGTTGGCAGTCTACACAGACTAAAATCAATGAATAATGGCCCACTTTGCTCTGCGCTGAGTAGACCTCTACTTCATGTAGAAATGGAAGCTTCATAAAACAACTAAAATGAGGCTGCAGATAAAGCTAATGAGCTACTTGATTTGCTATTTTCTTTTGGACTATAAACTCAGAAAAAGCACATGTGAATTTAGTAAACTCCTCCCCCTCCCCAGTTATAAAGTTCTTCCCATGTGGAAACCCCTCTATCATACAGCTGGTTAACTTTCTTGGGTTTTTGCCTGGGGCACTGAGAGGATACGGACAGCCAGTGGCACTAGGGATAATGCCCTGGGCCTGGAGTCAAAAAGGCCTGAGTTCAAATCTGGCCTCAGACTTTTACCAGCTGTGTGACCCTAGGCAAGTCACTCAACCCTTTTGCCTCAGTTTCCTCATCTGTAAAAATGAGATGAAGAGGAAATAGCAAACCACTCTATCACCTTTGCCAACAAAACCCCAAATGGGGTCACACAGGGTCAGACGCAACTGAATAACAGCTGAGAGGAGAAGTGACTGGCCCAGCATCACAAAATTAGTCTGTGTCCCAACAGGCAGGACTTGAACCCAGGTCTTCTTGACTCTCAGGCCAGCCCTCTGACCATTAGGCCTTACTAACTTTCATTGACAAACATAATTGGGATTGATAAAGTGTGATGACTATGCCTTATAGCATTTTAGAAGAATAAAATAATTGTTTGAAAGGTATACTTTATCTTAACAGAAAGGGCATGGTTGATGATCTCTCCTCTCATTCCAGAAAGGATCTGCCTTCTGCTTTCCCATGCAGAACCCAATATGGGAGGCTTTTGTGATGTTTATGAGTCCCTGGATGCACATCACTACATATCATGGGTGCTTTCAGTGCGGCACCTCTAGTCGGCTCCAGAGGCAGTTCTCAGTGCCTCCTTGGGATTTTGCATGAGACCAGAGAAAACCCTGGAGAAGCACCCTTATTGTGGAATGGGGATTTCTCTGGTCTTTTGGGTACTGCCTAATGCTATTTAGGTCTGAGAATGCCTGGGAAAGCCCAAAGGGTCCTCGGGGCCAGACCATAGCTAAGGTTCTAAATCTCCCTCTTAATCCCCCAAAGGTTCTCATAGCAAACAGTAGAGCTGATAAATGCCCTAAAACAAAACAGGATTTGCTCCAAGTGACCCAGTGAAGGGGAAGAGAAAGGGAGAAGGTTGGCATACTGGTTCAATCCTGATTTCCTTCCATTTCAAAGCAGACAATTTGCACTATGGTAACAACAACACTGTGGTTTGAATCATACTTATATCCAGGCTCATGTCCAGGCTTGTAAAACCAATGTGGCTGCTCCCATCCTGCATGAAAGCCCATGGAGCATTTAGAATTAAGGATATTGTAAAGCCCACTGATTCTTTTAGTAGGTCTCCCAGCAAACCTTTCTTCTTTAGGGTAACCCACTGGAAAGGTGAAAGAAAAAAAAAGTGAACACATACTAAATATCATCTAGACAGGAATGTAAAATATATTTACAAGGTTCCCCAAATACATTTCTTATTTTTAAAAATCCAGAAGCAATGACTATGCATTGCAGGGTTAAATGAAGAAATGCTGAAATCCCTACTTAGCCTCATCCCTGCAAAAAGCCATGAATCCACTTAGGATCTTAAATAAATACAATTTTAATTTGGTTTTATCAAGTGTGCAAACAAAACATTATTCAAAATGTCTGTGTTATGTTTTTGAAAAGATGTGCTTTCTAGAGATCTATAAAAGTCAACCAGATGGTGACTACTGCAAACCCTCTTATGGGACCCTTTACCAATATTGTTGAATCCATAAGACTCTCTCGCTTTGGCCTCTGTATACTGAGTTGTTGTCCATTTTCCATAACGATTGGGATCCAGTTCAATCAGGTCAAAAGGAGGTTCTCCACCAAGGATCCAATCACTGAGATATTTCCCTATCCCACCAGCATGGATGATCCCATATCTTAAAAAAAAAAAAAGAGATAAAACATCCTAATACAAAAACATCTATTAGGATTTTTTTCAGTAAAGTCAGAAATGATAAGAGACATTTAATGTGTTTACCAATATTTGCATCAGTGTGTAAGGGGGTCTTTAGAACATCGCATTTTTTATTTAAAAGTCTCCATATTGTCATAAATCTTTTCCTCTAAAAAAAGAATTTTAAAGAATCCAGATTCAACTACCTGTCTGAGAGAGACCTTGTTTGCCTCCCCACTGTCAAGAGACAGCAGACTGTTCTGGATGTTCCTTTTAGAGGGGAAAAAAGTGAAGATCAAAGCAAGAAACAGAAAACAACGAAAGTTAAACAAGCAGACAATAACTGTGATCTCACTGGTCCTCCGGAGCCAAGCTTGATTATAATGAGTCAGAGGAGGGAGTGCTGAAGATTTGTGTTGTAGCAAGTAAAAGGTAGGAATCTTTCCTCGGGCTGGTGTTTGGTTCACCCTCCCCTGTGGATGTCTTTAAGGCAACCTAACAAAGAACATGGCACTCTGTGTGAAGAATGATTTATGTGTCATGGGCAGAAAGGAACATTGGTTTCAATTTTTTTTCTACCGGCTTACCTCTTGGTGAGGAATGATAAAAGATAATGTTAGTAATAGTTGTCACCATAATATAATAACGCTTTAAGGCTTACAAGGCACCTTGTACATGTTATCTGATTTGATCCTCACAATAGCCTTATGAGGGAGCTACTGTTATGAGCCCCATTTTACAAATGAGGAAATGGAAGCTGAGAGAGGAGGGTGGGCTAATTCTGTATCTATGTACAAAACTGCTGTAAAATCAAGATAATGACTGACCATGGTAATTAAATATACATACATCGGTATAGACATGTATATACACATTAAACATGTGACATTAACATGTCACATGTTTAAATGGAGTAGGAGATGAGATTATAGAGTAATGAGAATGATTTTCTCTCTGGTTTGTGGAATCAGTCTTCTCTATGAATATATGTGATACTGTACTTTCTAATGCAATTTACCATTCATGTTATTCAATGGTATCAAGTTAACTTCAAATGTGGGGAGATCACCCTGACCCTGAGGGCCATACTTTAGGTCCAGAGAGTCTTCTGCTCATAGATTTATAACTGAAAGAGATTATAGAGATCATTGAGTCCATTCCTCTTATTTTACAGATGAGGAAATTGAGGCCTACACAGAGTAAATGACTTGCCCAAGGTCAACTAGGAAGTGAATGGCAGAGGTGAGATATGAACATGAGTCGTCTGAGTCCAAAAGCCTATACCTTTTCCACTACCTGCTAAATGGTAAGTCTATTTAGAAGTACTAGGGGAACCTTGGAAGAATAGGGAAGGTATATACACAGTTTCCTTTGCTTGAAGCATGGACTCAAGCTGCCTCTGTCACTCAGCTCAGCATTGATATTTCTATTGTCCCCCTTTAAAACAGTATCAAAAATAAGAAAAATTCAAATATAGTAAACAGTGCCTCCGGTGTGGGGAGACATTTAGGTTGAAAGGACTAAGACCACAAAAGCTCGTGGCATCTAGCTTATGCCCTGGAGCAACTTGTGAAAGTGATGCTGGATTTCTGGGTGGTCACAGAGTAAGGTTCTTCAGAATACTTTGGGAAGCAAGTCCGGCCTGTACCAGAAGCTCACAATTAATATGCAGATGAGCTCCTTTAAAAGCCTGGTCACAGCCAAACAAAAGGGAGTCCTTAATCCTCGTCCCAAATCCTCCAGTTGTAGCTGGGAATTCCATCACCCAAGGCAACTTCATTTAGAGATGGTGGAGACACCCTGGGATGCCCGAGGCCAGCACACGCTGCCATTGCTGCTGATTCCACTGATGATACACATGGGTGATACATGGGGATGGCACAGAGTGAATCTGCCCCAGTGGGCTGTGTGCGGCTGTGCCAGCACAGTGGTTGAATGGGGAAGGCAGCTGGGAAAAGTGGGATGGGAATACCTTTTCTATTGTCCTGCAGTTGTTAACAGTCGCATTGGACTCTATAACTCATTTGGGGTTTTCTTGGCAAAGATTCTGGTTTGCCATTTCCTTCTCCAGCTCATTTTACAGATGAGGACAATGGAGCAAGCAGGGTTAAGTGACTCTTCCAGGATCACACAGCTAGTGTCTGAGGCCGGGTTTGAACTCAGGGCTTTCTGACTCCAGGCCAGGCACTCCACCACTTACTTGCCTTCTGGGATACAGTTAGGGTGACCTTGTACGTTGTTTTGTCTTTGCAGTCCCAGTTCGTAGTGCAGTGCCTCACACATACTAGGCATTGAATAAATGCTGGTGGATTAGCAATCTGGAGAGAAAAGATTGTCCTTTTTTTGGAACAGACCTGTAATTTCCTCGGTATTGGAAACTGCAGATGAGGAAATTCCTTCCTCCAGTACAGATCAGCAACTGCTCTGCAGTTGAGAGAGTTGGCTGGGGGCACTGAAAGACTGAGCGACTTGCCCAAGGGCACATGGCCAGTTTGTGTCAGTGGTGGGACTTGATCTGATCCTTAAAGACCAGGTAAAACCTAGCTAAGTAAGGCCACTTTCATCTTCATTTCCTGGAACTGAGTGATAATGACTTCTCCTTTGTTTTGTCTTTACTCTGAGGAAAGGAATTCTAGAAAGGTGAGGTGGCACCTTTACTGTACAAGTAGTGGGCAGCGGGGTGGTACAATGGATGGAGAGCCAGGCCAAAAGTCAGAAAGACTCATCTTCCTGAGTTCAAATGAGAAAACCACTCCGGTGTCTTTGCCAAGAAACCTCAAGTGGGGTCATAAAGAGTCAGACACAACTGAACAACCTTTATTTCCTCCTTGGTTTTATCACTAGGGAGCGTCCTATGTGGGCAGAAAAGCAGGTGGAGGAGGTGGAGGAAGTAGCTCTGCCAGGTTGTGTTTGAAAAACACTGAAACTGACCCCTAGTCAGCCTATAAATACACCTACCGGCCCTTGCACCTGCAGCCACACCAAGGCAGTGGGACTGTCCCTCCCTATCCCCTTCCTTACACTCCCAGGTAGTCTTTGTGTGATTTCTTTTCCTCTTCAAGACTTCTTTTATTGTTGTTGTCTCTTTTGGGGGAGGGATGGTACATGGACTGATGGAGAGTAAAAAGAACAAAGGAAAGAAGGAGAGGACCCAGCTACAAAAGGCCTGGTGAAATTCCTCAGCTTCCAATCATACGTCCTAGGAATAACAAGGAAGTAAGGTGCTGAATTTGTAAAGCCAGAAATGTGGACACAGGCTCCATTAGCAGAAGGATTAAAATTGGATACAGTGAAATGGAAGAGCATCCGTTTTCATGAGCCGTGATTTGGCAGTAAGGTAGGCCTGACATCAATATTCACAAAATTAATGGAGCAGATATTAAAAACAAAACATCGAGAGGATAATGGACCCATAAGCAGGAAACCACCATGGGGAATTTAACCAAACAAATCATGTTAGACAAATGGGAATTGTAAGATTGGTGGTGGAAAGAGAGCCTTGGATGGGCTACATGGGAGGTCGTTAGAATCATAACTGTCATATCATTTCACGAAAATATGCTCATAGAATTAATTCCAATTGTCTTGTAGAAGGATACTGAGAGACAACAGAACCATGTAATGGAAATGGCAGGTAACTAGAGCAAATGAAGTTCTTGAACTGTCTAGCCCCACTGGTGAGTGCATTAAGCATTAAATATGTACAAATGATTAAGCAGTTAGCTAGGCTGCTAGGTGGTGCAATGCACAGAGTGCTAGGCTGGGAGTCAAAAAGACTTGAGTTCAAATCCAGCCTCAGGTACTTATTAGCTGTGTCACCCTGTGCAAGTCATTCAACTTTTCTTTTCCTCCATTTCCTCATCTGTAAAATGAGGATGATAATACCACCCACCTTCCAGAGTTGTTGTGAAGATCAAATTGAGATAATGTATGTTAAGCACTCTGCAAACCTTCAAGTACTATATAAATATTAGTTAGTTGTTATATTATTTCATAATATATTTATATTTAAATATATATATTTATATTTATATGACACATAGACATAATATATTACAATATATAATATATTATTATTAAACAGTGTCACAGTCGCTATTCTCAAGCTGAATAATTTCCATTTCTCTACCAGTTCACTCATTGTTGTTCAGACCTGTCATTTCACTGGCATCGGGAACTTCTGGTGCAGAAATTTCCTCCACTATTGCAGATAGGCAACTTGTTTTCAACGGTTGCCTAGAGTATCGAAAGGTTAAGTAATCTATCTGTAGTCACACAGCTAATATGTGTGAGATGCAAGTTTTGAACCTGCATCTACCTAACTCCAAGGCCAGCCTTCTATCCATTATGTCATGCTACTGAGAAGATTAAAATTGATCCTGTGTCATTTTCTTAACAATCCTATTTGCAAGTAATTGATTTTGTCCTGTAACTGTTTAAGTCATGGTTCTTTGTCTCTGAAATTAATTCAGGGTTCAGCTGGCCTGTAATGGGTTAAGTTTAAAAATCCAGCTCTCCTGCCTCAAGGAATTTAACTGACCTTGGAGAATGTGTGAGAAAGCAAGGTATCTTTATGCCACCAAGCTATCCTTCAAGGCTGTCTGGTTTGCTGTCCAAAAGTCTGAGCCATTATCTCACACCTGAACTCGAACAATAAGTACATCTTAGTCTCATGAAAGAAGAATCGGGGTTGCTGCTAGCCCCCATTACCAAATTTCCAATAAATCATGTTGTTCCCTACGCCTCAGCTCTATAACCGTTCATGTCCTCAGTCCCATGATGTCATCTATCCTGTTTAGTCTTCCCCAAAACCTAAAAAAGGAGAGCTGTCTTCTCACTCCATGGACCCGTTTATTGACAGGTAGCATGTTGCTGCTATTAAATGTTATCTTGCTCAAGTTTACCTCAATTTACCCTTTTGTTAAAATTCAATCACGATACTATCATCTTACTTCAACAAGACTCTCTTAAAATATAATAAAAATAAGAGCTCACATATTTCATTCTTTTAGACTTTTAAAAACACTTTAATACATTATTTCATTTGATCCTCACACCTGTAAGGCAGCTATAACTATTTTACAAATGGGCAAACTGAGGCTCAGAGAGATGGTTACTTGCTAAAACTCAGACATATAAGTAAGTGATTAAAGTAGAATTTGAATTTGGGTCTTCTTGACTCTCCACTAAGACATACTCTCAACTTTTCTTGGCATCACGGAGAACACATATTCCTTTATCAAGAGAAGAAAAATCTCTCTGTCTCCTTTCCATGCCTTCTCGTCTGAGCTCGTGTGACAGGTGTCATTCAAAATAACAATTAGGATAAATAAATGTACCAGAATTATTGAATTCTACTGGGATACTTACCCAAAACCGATGGCCACCCAGTAATTTCTAACACCCTGATGTGGTCCCACCATGGGCAGAATGTCTGGAGAATAGGTGATAGGACCAGAAACAATATTGATGATGTCAGCCTTTCTCAAGACTGGGACCATATCCATGGCAGCTTCCACATTTTCCATGATTCTGTCTAAATCAGACTCAAAAAGTTCCTTTCCAAAACCTGAAAATACATTTCACTGTTACCCAGGCACTAATCTATTTTTAAGTAATGCATATTCAATTTAAGAGACCACTTGTAGCAGAAGACAAACTGTCAATAAAATGCTTTCATATTAATAGATAGTTATCACTGAGAATAAGAAAATGATTAGTTGTGAAATTAAACCTTTTTAAAATTCCATAATTTTTCTGTGTATGATTTATTACCCACTTAGTCTATTTCCTGATGTTCCCAAATGATTTTACTTTAAAATGAGCAATTGTTTTCTTTGACACCAATTAGCTCTTAACCTATTCTACCTTCTGTGTATGAGGTAAGTGGACTGACAAAAGTTCTAAGCTAAATAAATAGCCAGAGTCTGGCTCATAACTAGGTTTCATCCAGGACAACAGACAATGAAAAGTATTTCCCTTCCCTCTGTAAAGAAGTGAGGGACTGTGGCTATAGAATAAGCCAGTTGCTATGTGGCTTGATTTTACTAACAGTTTTGGTTATGGGGAAGATTCAGTGATTGAGGGGGGAGGGACATAAAGGGAAATTACTAGAGTATAGAATAAAAAGTATTACTAAGCCTTTGAAAAGATAGGAGCATAAATGTGACAGGAAATATAATGTTGTTGTTCAGTTGTTTCAGTCATGTCCGATTCTTCATGACCCATTTGGGGTTTTCTTGGCATAGATACTGGAGTGGTTTGCCATTTCCTTCTCTAGCTCATTTTACAGATGAGGAAACTGAGGCAAACAGGGTGACATGAACTTGTTCCAGGTCATAGAGCTAGGAAGTATCTAAGGTCAGATTTGAACTCAGGAAGAGGAGTCTTTCTGACTTCAGGTCCAGTGCTCTATCTACTGCACTACCTAGCTGCCCAACAGGAAATACACTAAAACTGGAGAAGGGCAGGGGAGTCAAAGTAGAATACCTGGGAAAAATCACTCCAAGACCTAGGGTGATCACAATAATCATCTTCTTCCTATTTCTCCCTCACAAATATTTTTCTTTTTTTTTTTTTTAATCTGTCATTTCATTACTATATTCTCTGAGGTAGAAAGCTAGCTAGGGACATTCAGAGGTTAAATGTCTTGCCCAAGGGCACACAATCAGTGTGTGTCCAAGGTGGGCTTTCTATGGACTGGACCCTACTGCCTCTCATATTAGTTGACACCTATGCATATACACCATACAAATACAGTCAGTGGTGGGATATTTTTCCTTTCTCTCTGTGTCTCTGGTGTGTAAGTGATAAAAATAAAGTATAAATGAGAAAGTCTAAAAAGATTTTTTTTAAAAAAGAAAGGAGAGAGAATGGCATAGGAAAGTAAAACAGTAGCATCAGAGGACAGGGGAACTCTGGGGTCTTTTGCCTTCATTCTGTATGGAGAAGATGGCACCAAATGATGAGATTCAATTTCATCCTGATTAAGATACAGATGGGCCAGGTGGCTTTGTTTGAGAGCAGGGAGCTCTTTAAGGAATAGCTGGAATTTGGAGACAGAAAGAGCCAAATTGGCACCTACATTTTCACTCTGTTTTGCTTGGGATCATTTGTCCAAGACAACCTATGGGTTAGGACTCTGCCAGGGAAGCCCTCATGTTCTGAGCTAAGTGATTCTGAGGTTTTACAAATATCTTTGGGACTAATTGTTGTTCATTTACAGGTTTCTCATTTGTTTTCCTACTGTAGTTAATAAAATGATTAAAATTTATATAAGTAAGAAAATAATTATAATTAAATTAATAATAAAATTTGGGGTTGTTTGTTTATTTGTTTGTTTTGGGGTAGATTTGCAATTTCATTGGAATAGAGAACACTCTCTCTACCAAGGTAGATAAATACCTGCTCTACAACTTGTAGTCAGTTGCCTAGAGCATCATGACTTACCTAGGGACACATAGCCAGTGTCTCTAGCAGGCAGTACTTGAACCCAGGTTTGTTCTATAATATTGTTACCTTTTGTTTACGACTACATATTTTCTAGGAGTGAAAATTTAAAATGCCCTGAGGGACCCCTCCCTCCAGCCAGAAAAGGAACTCTACCTAACTGCTTCTCTTTCCACTGACCCTTGGGAATTTTGTTATTGAAATGAGAATTTAAAATAAATAAAATTTAAATTCTTATTTCAATAACAAAATCAAAATGGGAAATAATGAAAATAGCAAAATCTGAATAGGAAAAATGAATAAAATAATCATCTGAATCAGAAATTTTAAAAAATCTGAATGGCAAAAAGTATCCTACCCTGCCTCATCTTAGCTCTGAACCTCTCAAGAAAGAAGCAGGTTATTTCAAAAACCTAACTAATTCTTATTCTCCTTTTGTTTACCTCCTACCCACTGCCTCACTTTTCATGCTCTAAATAAAATAAAATCTGAGTTTACATTTCTCTGAATGAAAACAACTGGCTCAGATATATTTATATACACTTTTCAAGTTTCATATGCTTAGATACATACCTACATACATACATACATATGTTAGGCTGAATGCCGCAACCCCAGCAGCCTCTTCTACCATTATTATCTCTTAAAATGAGTTGGTATTGGCTTTCAACCTTGGGGAGGATGGGAAGAGAGGCAATGAGGAAAGATAAGGCTAAGTAAGGCAAAGGGAAGGAAGGGTTGATAGGATGAGTCCAGAATCAGACAGGAGAGAATACACCTTGAGCCCCTCAGAGCATGTTCATCCTGAGGAATGAATCTGCGTTTGAGGCTAAGTGCACATTCTTTCTGACATCCTCCTTGGATTCTTTTCAAAACGGGCATTGGACCTCAGGATAGCATCTAACTCTCCTTGCCCCCCAGGTTTCTGATTGCCCAGTATTGGGGGAATTTTGTGACTTTAGAGGGAACTTCAAAATTGCTTTGAATGGATGGATGTGTCAGTTAATGGCTTGACCTGGTGGGACTCCGTTGGTCACCCAGGAATCTTGGACCTTCATTTTCTCCTGATTTTCATATGGGCCAAGTAAAAGCCCGTCTCGTTCCTGTCGTATGTAGTACGATCCTTCCAGGTCTCGAAGAACTGCGAGTTCTCTTTTTAAAGCTTTCACTTCAGGTATGGTCGCTGTGACAAGATACTGATGATGAACTGGAATGAGAGGATGTTCTAGTCCAATCATTTTGCCAACTTCACGAGCCCAAAATCCTAAATGAATAATAATTGAGCATTTTAACACAAGCATAACAAAATGGTGCTCATCCTATAAAGTGATTTAACTAAAAAGAAAATTATTGGGCAAGATTGCTTATGCATCTGGCAGAGTATAAAACACTTTCCTCTCTTTCATAATGGGAAGAGGACCCTAAAGTAAGGACAGACCATGGTTCTAATCTGTAATCCTCCCCTCCCCAATAAGATTTGGCTGTGTGATCCAGGGCAGATTACTTAACCTCTCTGATCCTCAACTTTATCTAGAAGCAGCATGGCATAGTGGATAGGATGGTGGAATTAAAGTCAGGAAGCGCTGGGTTCAAATACCAGTTCTGTTACCTCATAGCTGTGAGACCCAGGGCAAATCACTCAGCTTCATTCTCCTTATGTATAAAATGAGAGGATAGACTCCAGGGTCTTTAAGTTTCCTTCCAATACTAAATCTATGATGGTATAAAACAGGGATGTGATGCCAATGTGATCTGCCCTCCAGGTTAGGGTAAAGATCAAATTGGATGATAGGGGCAGGTAGGTGGCACAGTGGATAGGACATGGGCCCTGGATTCAGGAAAACCTGAGTTCAAATCCGGCCTCAGACACATAACACTTACTAGCTGTGTGACCCTGGGCAAGTCACTTAACGCCATTGCCTAACCAAAAACAAAACAAAACAAAAAAAACCAAGTGAGATGGTGTATGGAAAGCAATATGTACATGTTGGCCAGGATGAACCCTCTCTGCACTCTTCATTCAACAAGCATTTATCTAGTACCTACTGTCTGTATCCTGCTATGTGTTCTTGGAGGAAGAACAAAATGTTACCTCCTGTGTATACAAGGTGTCCCCAAAGCCTTAATGTTCTGCTATCTCCATGGGAACTCTCATTTCATTTGGTGTTCATTAAGTCCAGAATAAAAAGAAATTTAAAATGTGATCATGTTATTGATTAAGTCTTGGTTACTAAGGCCTTTTGTTTTAAGAATGCAAAGGATAGGCACTTGGAGGATGGTGTTTCGGATGCCAAAACAGCAGTAAGGCTGGTTATGTCCTATTCTAGTGATGAATCTCCAACCAGCGGAGATTACTAGCTGGCATGTATATGGTTCTTTAAGGCTTGTAAAATACTTCCCATATGCTATATCCTTTGAGCCTCACAACATCCCTGTGAGAGAACGACTATTTGTGATTGGGGTCAATTGGTTATGGTCATTATCTGACACCACCATCGTCAAATAGCTATTCAATAGATGAACTTTTTTTCTTGTGTATGAGATTTTTCTTCATGACAATTTATGAAAGTTTATCAGATGACTAAGGAATCCCACTTACTGCTCTGAATTTTGTTTTCTCCTCCCAGGTCCTATTTCTTAACGCTTTGATCATTTCCTTTTCTATTCTCTTCTAACTCTGATCCAGGTTGTGGGATGGGTAGAATACACTGGAAAGAGTTCTAGCTTTGGATTCAGATTCCTTGATTTTGAACGCTGGCTCTGCTAGTTATTATTCTGTAACCTTGGACAAGTTGCTTAGTCTCACAAGGCCTTAGTTTCCTCATCTATAAAAAAAAAAAAAGGTAAGCAGGACCAGACAATGAATACTAGCTAAAACTGATATAATACATGTTATATGCATTATTTTCACTTATCTTTTTCATTGTTATTTGCCTCTTTTTTGTGTCCCAGCACTCAGCTCAATGTTTGGCACATAGTAGGTGCTTAATAAATGTTGGCTGATTGATTGATTTGCACCCCCCCAGAGCAATACAGTGAGATAGATTACACCAATATTATTGCCCCCATTTTAGAGATGAGGAAACTGAGGTTCAAAGGGGTTAAATTATTTGCTCATGGACACATAACTAGTAAGTTTCAGAGGCAGGATTTGAACTGAGCTCTTTCCTAATCCCAAGGTCAACTCTCTTTCCGTTATTCCGTGCTCTTGATCTTTGTAAGATCTCTTTCAGGTCTCAATCCTAGGAGCCCTAGGATTGTCTCTGTGGCTCCCAAAATGAGACGTGGTGTCTCTGTTTAAGAGGAAAATGGTAGGTTCAGTGTGTGCCTATTACATGTCACAGTCTAGTCTTGCTTGGGCATCCTAGTACCATGGCTGTGGCTCTCTGTTCCTTTATTTCTGAATGACAGAGTTATATTAGTGACCCTTGGTTAGTTTCTGCAATAGTCACAAAATAGTAGTTCTTTTGCAGTGCCATAACAAATGTGGGTGAATGGAGCTTAGCCAACATGTTGGCGTAACTGGCTCCATTCCTACCTAGGTCAACCACCATCCCCATGAATCATCTTACGATCTTCTAATGGTTTGGAGTCTAGCTACACACCTCTATAGGCTGCATGCCTGCCTCCTCTACCCTGGAGACTTGCTCTACCCTGGACTTCACACATTGGAAATACCCTCCTCCCCTACAGCCTTTCCCTCCTATTAGCTGGCTCCTCTCAGAACCACCAATATAAACACATACCACCCCAAACAAACAAATCAGAGACAAGATAATGTTGATATGGAAAATGCCAGTAACTGAGGGAAAAGGGAAAGACCTCGTACAGAAAGTGACATTTGAGCAAATTTTGAAGGAAACCAGAGATTCTAACAGATTTGAGAAGGGAATGCTTTCTGGGAACAGGAGATAGAAGGGACAAAAAAAAAAACACAGAGAAAGTAAATGGAGCAGGGAGAAGCAGAAAGTAGGCCAGTATGGATAGGCCACAGAGTACGCGAAGAGCCTGGAAAGATAGGAAGGGGCCAGGTGACGAAGAGCTTTAAATGCCAAAGAGAGGGTTTTATGATTTTTTTTTTCTACAGGTGATAGGGAGCTACTGGAGTTTATTGAGAAAACAGAGATGACCTTGTCAGAACTATGATTAGGTCAGAACTATTGGTCAAGAAGGTCAATGAGAAGCCTACTGAAATAGTTCATGGAGGAAGTGATGATGGACTAGACCTGGGTGGTGCCCGGGAGGATGAAAAGGTTCTGATAAAGGAGTGGAGAAGAGGAAGTTCACAACAAATGGCATTGATTTTCTTAGTCAAGTATGAGTCAAGATCCCCAGCTGAGAGAAGGGAGGGATGCCTGAGGAGAGAAGACAAATTTTGGAGTAACTGGGTTAGAGAATCCATCAGAGAGGAATGAAAAGGCCTGCTTTGCTGCAGTGAAGGCCCAGTTGAAATTAGATTATTAAAATCTATAATGGATCCCATCTGGGGCAGCTAAGTGTAGCACTGGATAGAGCACTGGCCCTGGAGTCAGGAGGACCTGAGTTCAAATCCAGCCTTAGACACATAACACTTACTAGCTGTGTGACTCTGGGCGAGTCACTTAACCTCAAATGCCTCACAAAAATAAATGAGTATAATGGATCCCATCAATACAATTGTCTGTCTTCTCCCAGTTCTTTTTAGCAGCATGTGAACAGAAGCAAAAGGGGCAGGTGGTGGGAGTAATCCAAGGCTGGGGTTTCACAAGAGATTCAAAAGCAGAGGACAGGATAGAGTTGCACTGATTGGCTAAAGGGCAGAAACTGAGAAAGAGGAGAATGCAACTAGAGCTGGAAGGATGGCCTGGCAGGCACAGAACAGTGGAGGGACCAGAGCTTATGGTGAGGATGATGAATAGGTTTAAGAGAAGTAAGGCATAGCAAGAGATGAAATAAGAGGTTTTGTTTTTTCAAGTCATGTTTGACTTTTTGCGTCCCCGTTTGGGATTTTCTTGGCAAAGATACTGGAGGGGTTTGTCATTTCCTTCTCCAGCTCATTTTACAGATGAGGAAACTGAGATAAACAGGGTTAAGTGACTTGTCCAGGATCACACAGCTAGTATATGTCTGAGGCTGGATACGAACTCAGCAAGATGAGCCTTCTTGACTCCAGGCCTGGCATTCTATCCATTGTGCCACCTAGTTGAGGAAACCCTCTACTGATGAAGGTTGGCACCTTCTCTGCAAATTATAGACGTAGTGCTCTGAGTCCTGAGAGGTTGTGATTTGCCTGGGATCACACAGCTGGTATGTGTCAGAGGTGGCACTTGTGACTTCAAGGCCAGTACCCTTTCTACTATGTTAAACTGCCTCTCAATAATGGAAATTGAGGAAACTGAGGAAGTGACAGGCCAGTATATATAAGAATTAATTTATAATATGTCAGTGGAAGAAAAATGTCTACACAACTGTCATGGATAGTAAGTAATGGAATGATAGAATGAAGAGAGGACTGGATTTGGAGGCAGTTACTGCCTTGGGTTAGAGGGGGCATGCATGAGTCAGGCAGTCAGAAGAAGCTGGTTTGAACTGTTTATTCCAGTGCATACTAGGTAGAATGGAAAGATGTTGATTATGCTCTAGAAAGAGAGAGAAAGAGGGGAGGGAGAGAAAAGAGACAGAGACAGAGAAAGAGAGAAAAGAGAAGACAGGAGAGAGAGAGAGAGAGAGAGAGAGAGAGAGAGAGAGAGAGAGAGAGAGAGAGAGAGAGAGAGAGAGAGAGAGAAGGAGAGAGGAGAGAAACAGGAAGAGAGAGAGAGAGAGAGAGAGAGAGAGAGAGAGAGAGAGAGAGAGAGAGAGAGAGAGGGAGAGAGAGAGAGAACACTCCAATAAACAAAAGTCCTAAGAATTGTTGGCACCAAAGCTATTGGTGGAGATCTGCAAAAATGAGGTTAAAACAAAGGGTGAAGGTTAGCTGAAGAGCTTCCTGCTCTCCCTGGGCTTGTCATGAACTCAACAGTGGCTCCATTCTCTGTCATGCCTTTGACCCTGAGAGTCAGCTAAAGTTGAGCGGTCCTTTGGCTGAACACTGAGCTCCACATGTGTAGAAGCCAAGCACGCCTATGACTAAATAAATTTTAAAAATACCTAAGAAAGTTTCACAAGGAGACAAGCAAGACTATTTGGAAGGGATTGTATGGAAAATATTCACCATTTATGATGGCCGCCTTGTCATACAGCATGGCAGAATGGAATAAAACAGGAAAAGCCCCGGAGACCTAGGTT